AGTTTCTGCGGAGGAAATTCCTTCTAAAAAAGACTTATTCAAAATTCAATGCTTGAAGAACCGTCTCGGTGAGCACTTTTGTATGTGTTGTTGCCTTCGGCCACGACAAAACTAGTACTTATCATTTCTTCTATGATCTTCATTCCAAGAAATGAAATCCACACTCAAAAATGTCCCAACTTGGAGTGGAGTGTTACCCTCCCTTTCAAAAAACGAGAAGAGCGTCGGGTGCAGACCATACACCACAAGTGACGACGGCCTCCAAGTAAATCTGGTTAGTAGTTCATAGTGATAGCTGATTTTTGGTAAATGATAGTTGTAATTAGTGACAACTGATAGAATACAACTGCAACAGGCTAATCATTTCATTGGCAGAAAACATTTACATTTTGTGGAGGCCGTCGTCACTTGTGGTGTATGGTCTGCACCCGACGCTCTTCTCGTTTTTTGAAGGGAACGTTCCTGGAGTCTTTGTGCGCATTAAAACTGACGCACTACTTCAGTGAGATAGTCAAACAATGACCCTTTCATATTTCGGCAGTTGATTAATTTGCACCATTCTTGCATGAGAGAGTGAAAAAAGATAAAAGATAAATGACATGACCGTCGAACGTTCTCCCTGAGTCATTCAGGCCGAACATTCATCCAAAATCTTCAACCATAGCAAACGGAACTCAGATATCTGGTGCATTCCGCAGAGATTTAACCACCATATTCTGCCCCTCATCCCCTTGATTTCCACTTTCGATGGTAATGCAAGATTAGGGAGTTTGGAAATAGGTGATTAGGGAAAGATGGCCATAGGTGAGCGTCAGGAGTCGCTCTATAGGGAAATAGCTTCTCCATTAAGGTTTAGACTACGAGCTGGAAACTGAATAAGTCGCTAAATTTGTCATTTTTGTTCAGAAGAAATTACGGGGAATTGACATACCAGGCTTTGAAAGAAGCCCGAGCCTCCAACAGAAATGGCATGCTACTAAAAACCCAAAACTTTATTCACTTCATGGGACGCTCCGTAATGAGGGTGGGAATTTTTAGCACAGAGGCGCTAGCAGGGGACCCATACGTGGGGTATTCCCCTCGCGGGTGACCACCTTTGTGATTTTCGAAGGAAAGGGTCGTATTTGGTGTGAGGAGGCGTAGTTGGGTTAAATAGTATTCTTTTTGTAAGACGGGGAGAGAAATTGTTTTTCAATGATATGTTTAGAAGGTTTTGCGAAATGCAAAAACTGCATAGATATGGGATACTTAACATTGGACTGGCGTTACCCAGAATAACGATAACCTTAGACGATTACAGGAGAGGCTGTGTGAATGACTCCAGGCTAGTACGCGTGTGGGGTGAGTCGTACTGACGAAGTCACCTGTCGTCCAGGAGTTGGATCTGCGCACGCAGTTAGATCTCAGAAATTCTTAGTTTGAATGTCGTATTCGGGGTTTTGAGGTGGTTTGAGAAAGCTCAACCATGTTTGAAAAAGCGCGGTCGGGAGTACGTTGAGCGTTTTGATGATTTTGGCCGGGAAAAATTAGAAGTCGAAATTGGAAGATTTGCTACTTCATTAAAGCTTCATTCGACCCAGTGGACATAGGACATAGACAATTTATTTACTCCCCTTCCCCCCCCCCTCCACCCCCTCCCCTGCCCCTACCCGACGGCCGGAAGGGTGGACGTAGGCGGAGTTGGGCTGTGTCGACTGGTCTCAGAATGAAATACCATCACAGAGACAGTCATGATGGCAAGGGCTGGTGGTCGGGGGCAGTGGAAGTAGGATCGTATTGGGAGGGCTTCCCAAGGCTGGGGGTTGAGGGTCGTATCGAAATCCCTAGAGGGATTAGCATTGCGAACGCGTCGGTTGACCCTGGTACTGGCTCCTAATTTTTCCCAACCCAAAGGTTGACCCTGGTAAAACCAACTCATTGAATGCTCCCTCATGAGAGATCGGAATTTTGCCGACCGAACGCCCAAACATTCTGTTGTTGACAGTCACCACTCAATTCAGGTCCCTTGTTTGATGATCAACAGGAAGTTTTCCAAGTTTACGACTGTTTTATCAATTTCACCCGGCTTTAATCAGTGACATCATGTCACACGGGAGGGAAGCACTGTTGTCCCGTGCAGCTCCTTGATCTCTGGCTAGATTTACGAACCAAAAACCCTGCTCTCTGCGGGGCAACAGTGATAATACCCTCCGCAGGAGCAGAGTAACTCCTCGTGTTTCATTTGTAGATCGGTGTTGTTTCATGGGCGGAGCGCTGCGCATGAAATGGCGTAGACAAAACAGTGCGAAGGGAGCGCCATCGATGAGGAGACGATGGGTGGAGAGTCGGTTTAGAGAAATGCTTGGGGTATCACACACACTGACAATAACCGGTCGCCCCGTCGGACGTGTCGCGCCTCCCGTGATCATTTCGAGTTCTATCGGTCGCCTCTCAATTCCCGTCATCAGCATCATCACCACGATCATCATCAGCACTGAAAGAAGCAGCGAAGAAACAACAGAATGCTTCCACAGATCCTTCTGATCTCGACGATCATCGGCACTGTTCACGTGCAAAATGTGGACTGCGCTAATGAAGGTATGCCATCGTTCTCTTAGCCCCTTTAGCGACCACTTCTTTGGGTAGTGAATTGCTGGACGCGCTGTTAATGGCGTCCAGACTTCTGTGTAATTATCCTTGTGTCATTATTGTTCGATAGAAACGCTTCATTCGATATACCAGCACAAATAAAGCTGGTGCTATACAGGAGCGCGGTGGTAGGAGCCTTTTTATTGCGCTCGGTAACAGGTTCAAGAGTAAATTTATGTAGTCTCAAGTAACCCAACAATATGACATTCCTGTCCTTTTTCATGGCCACACATTGAAATGGACTAGTACCTCATCAACAGCGCGCCCTCCTGATTTTTTGGCCTTTTTTGGCCTTGAGGTACGATTGCGAGTCGAAAACTAGAAAAAAAGAGGATGCTCAACATAAACGGAGCGGTACTTTACTAGTTTTCAGATTACCTCATCCATAGCCGTGAACAATCAGTTATCTCTTATATCGCTCCTATACCGCTCCAGCCCAGCGGCCTGCAAAGCGTGGTGCACTGTGGAGCCACGTTGTCCCCAATGTTTTGGAGCTCGCTAGATTTTCATCCAAAATACCCCTAGATGTGTCCCAAATTGCTGAGGTCGTTCTTCTATATCAGATATCCTGTAGCAAATCTCAGAGCACCAATATGTTAACACCTAAGCGATAGCGTAGGTTCATGATTTTCTGATTCGTGGAATTAGAATGCGCTGTATGGATAACTATAACATCTTTTATAAAAAATCTTGGCATCTGAAAATGATTCTGAGTATGGCACGGTTTCCCGTCTCAGCGGCCTACAAAGCGTGGTGCACTAAATCGAGCCACGCTGTCCGACCAGTTTTGGTAGCGTGTTTAGATTTCTTGGCCAATACTCTAAGTGTGTGTGAACAGTAAAGTATGGATGCTTGAGCTATGTCTCTTCAAATCTTTACGTCCAATATCAAGGGTTCTCACGTCTTGCTGGGTGCCCATCTCAAGAGTTTCATCGCATACAAAAATCTAATAGCCCAGGATGAATCGCTTCAGGTCTGCTACTCATTTTCGTTTCTGGCTTAATACTTATTTGGTAAAATTTCGCCAAAGCTCTGGTATTGTTACAGTTTTTTTTTAATTGTCCAACAAGAATATTCGTTAGGCTGAAAATCTACGACGCTAACAGAAGTTATTATCATAGGTAAAGTGACGTTAGTGTGAACTTGCTAACGCAAGTCCTCCTAGGCTGTTCTGGATCATACATATTTATAAGCCACCATGAGAAACTATTTTGTCCAGGGGATGAACGAACCTGGGCGAACTGAGTCCTGGGTTAGACTTATCTGCTTTTACTTACACCAGATTGGTCCCCTTTCCTGCGTCTGCTTTACGTCTTCCGCTTTCCATACAGTAGAGGGCATCGCCATAATCATGACATGACCGTGGAATGACATATCAATACCTAACTGCATCTTAGGCCTGTTGGTGATCAGTTTTTAGCCTCCCCTCCCCATCCTATGCTCCTCCCTCCACTACCCTCCAGCTGCCGCTGCAGCACCATGTGGAATGACCGAAGTGTGCTCAGAGGGTGTTTATGCAGCCGTAGGGGTGATATCACAGTTATCCTACTACAAAACATTGATACAATACCGCCCCACTTGTCCCGCAACCGTCGCTTCGCCATAACTGCTGTAAAAATGGTTTAAATGAATTGAGTTTGGAACCATTAGATAGCAATTGTCAAGGCGAATCCAACGGTCTAGTTCGTTTCGGCTTTCCTTCGAATTTTTAGCCTTATTTATGCAAAATTCGGAGTTTGAGTCTCTGCTTGCCAACAGCAATACCTGCGGACATAACACCGTCATCAACCCTCCAGTGCGACTAGGATTCTCGATCGTAGGGTTGGAAAATCAAAAAAAAAATCAGCATATTTGGATAGATCTCGAATCCGTGATCAAGTTCTGCGAGCCACTCGATTCTGTTAGCAGTTGCTTATTCCATTAGCTCCCTTATCACTCACCTCATTTAAGGACGGACAGACATACATGCATACAGACATACAGACAAACCGACACACCAAGTGAGCGCTTTATAAAATAGAGGATTTTGCCTCTACATCTATCAAATGCACTACAATTTACTACCATGTTGCCACGAAACTGCCTTCGAGAATTCTACAGTTTTTCATTGCTGGTCACAGCCAGTAATGATGAATGATTCGATTATGTATCACACCGCCTCTTTCCCTTCTTTTTCCGCTAAAACTTTTTGTCAAGGAAGAAAAGAAAGTATCAAGGCAACTGGCATTTCTACGGTTGCGCTTTTAGTGCAGGATCAGTCCTTTTGTTGCAACCATCCCCAGCCCCATGTGAACTCTTAAGTCTATAAATGCAGAAGTCATCAATTTTGGTAGGATGATTCCTCAAAAGAGTACTAACAGTAAGCACAGCTTGCATTATCGGGTATGTAGGTGATGTACCCTCCCCTCCACAAAAGCCAGAAAGTGTTGTGTGGCAGACCAAACACCAACAACTGACACGACGCCCTCCAAGTAAATCTGGTTAGTAGTGGTTCATAGTGATAGCTGATTTTTAGTAAATGATAGTTGTAATTAGTGTCAACTGATCGAATACAACTGTAACAGGTTAATCATTTCATTGGCAAAAAACATTTGCATTTTCTGGAGGCCGTCGTCACTTGTGGTGTATGGTCTGCACCGCACACTTTTCTGGCTTTTTGAGGGGAGGGTAATTCGAGTGATGGTGATTTTTTGCATCCAAGATCAACCAAGCCAACAGAAGTGTTCAAAAACCTCGCAAAACCATATCACATTCGTCAATAACGAAGTCCAATAGAGCAAACATTCCGCTAGTGACGGCAATCACCCACGTGAATTCTAGTTCTATTCTAGCTTCTGGCTGAATTCTAGCCTCATTGGTCTAGCGAATGAAAAAGAGCGAGGGAAAAAGCATCCAGACCCTTTTGAGCCAAGCAATCCACTTTTGCCTGAGAAATGTAGCGGTAATTGACTGCGATTGGAGCCCATACCCGAGGGTCACCATTTGTCGATGTTTAGTTCGATCTACTTGTCCCATCACTTTCGAGAAATCAAGTAGTACCAATTATGCGATCTCGCAGGACGTTGTTGGCGGGGATAGTTTAACTCACAGGTTTGACCTCAACCTATGATGTGGGTAAAAATGCCCCAATTGCGCTCACCATACAATTACGCTCCGCCTGATCAGTCTCACTTGCATACACCATCACTGGAAAATTTTGCATGTAGCTGAATTTTGCTGCTGCTACCTCATTGTGTTCTCCAAATAGGAACTGGGGGGGTTCAGATTTCCGAAAAAAGTGAATGATTTATAACTCTGGAGGGGCTGGTAGGTGGATAATAATGAAGTAGTAGGTCATTTGCTTATGTGGAGCGGAAGAGTTGTATTGGCAAGTGGGCTGTTTAGGGCGCGCATTCAGTTAGGGATCAAACCCCAATGTCGCGGTCCCGACGCGACCAACCCTTCCATCTCCTCGGGGTCAGAGTCGGTTGAATGGCAACAAACTTGATTGGCAACAAATTCGACAATAACAATAAATGAGCGAACTTGAGAAAAACAAGGCAGGACTGGGACGATAAACACTGGCCCTCGAAACTATGTAAATGTACAGGCCAGATCGCGTTTCTCAACCCACTACGATTCTGAATGGTAGCAGAACGCGTGGCGCATACCAGAGAGGAATTGAATCAATAAAATTATGATTTTGTATTGAAATACAATTGAGTCATTCAAGTTTGCGAAACCAAAAGTTGTTGTTTGTTTGGATCGCAATATTGTTCGGGTACTTTTGCCAAAATTTTATTTAGGGGGGTGGGATCAAAGACAGTAGTTTAGTCACCGTTTCGCATGTGCCCTTAGACGGAGATCTGAATGCAAGTTTAACATACCCGGGACGTTTCTTCTATGATATTTGATGTGGTACGAGCAGTGTCGTTGCTTGCTCGACTATTAGCTTCACCTGCCCGAACTAACTGGGACTAAACCTTCATCTTCAAAGATCTCCTTCCTCTCCCTAGAGCTTACTGCCACTTTGTCCGGCAGAGGAAAGCCAATGGGATTCTGCTGATGAATGGGGTTTGGCTTAGCATATTTCGGAGATCAATGAGCAGTGTGCACTGTTTGCCTAGACAGTTCTTTTGTCGCCTTCTTCAAATACTACTACACAGACTGACCTTTTTCTCAGCAGAAAAATAAATTCGTGAGCTTGAAAAAAACATTTTGGAAGCAGCAGACCTGCACAATTTATTTCTCTCAAGTGTAAAAGGCGCTCATACCTTTGAGATTACCTGACCTCACGGCCTTACCGCCTTATGGTGAGTGGGGGGGGGGCACATTCGAAACAAGGCAATTGAAAACCGCGAGCTAGAAGTAAGCCCAGGAGAGGGGCGGAACGCCAGGAGAGAAGGAATTGCTTACATCCTTTCAGAATCCCTTCTCCTCCCTAAGGCATAGTTAGTCCGCAAAGTTCTTTAGAGAACTGGCTTGCCACCTCGAAAAGTCCCCACTCCTTCGAATTGAAGCGCCGTGTAAAATAATTTGCCAATTCTAACAAACAAACTCTCAATCCTATCGCAATCGATGATGAATTGCGAATTCACTCGAAAAATAGGATCTATTGTCGGGAGTTCACCGAATGGAACGGGTTTTTGACATGAACAAAATACTATTCAATTTCGCGTTAAACCCGATTGGGCCGATTCGAGCAGGAAACTGAAGCGAAAAGATAAACCCTAGACGAGGTGTAACGACATTTGTCCTGTGAATGGATGCGCATCAAACGGGATGTTGAAATTTTGAAGCTTTAGGGCCAAAAATTGGAGTTCAAGTCGCTACACATCCAATAGGAGAAGAAATTAATATATAGTGGGCTCCTCCAAGGAACGCCTCGGATCATGTACAAGAAACAGGGTCAACCGTTACGTTGGACCGATATTGGAGCGACGTTGGACCGATGTTCACCGCTCTCCGCGCCGGCATTCACTCTCGCCACCCGCGAGCCGTCTGTGTCTCCGTGCGTACGTTCACTCTCGGCATTACTCTCGTCGTCGCGTTGGACTTTGTCCAACGGACGGTTGACCCTGGTCAGGGCCGTGCCATCTACATGGCCGCCATTATAACGAAAATGGCCTGAGAGTTTTCTGAAATTTTCAAAGGCTGTGCTATCATCATCCCGGTCAAATGTGTGACAGTCAAAGGGCTTTGTCCAGACGGGGCAAAAGACCGTTTAGAACTGGGCGGGATCTGATCTACAGACAATGTGGATGGTAATGTTCTTTGTGACTAGACGACGATTCTCAGTGCTATGTAACAACTTCTGGGGGACAAAGAGAAAAAATAAAAATTAGCAAACGATAAGGGAATAAAGCTTGCGATTTATCAGCTTTGGTGTGCGCCATGCACTCCACCTGTATTCAAAATTACAGTGGCATTTGAAGGCGGTTAGACCTAGAGAATGAAGTTCTGTGTTACTCCGATGTACAAGTCAGCACGACTAGTTGGGTGGGAGTCAGCCGCAAAAACGGAAGGCTTGGTTGGCCTGAACGGCATACGATCCAGGACTTGACTATGTGCGTGTGGTATGCGGCATCACTTGCTACTTCACCATCTCTGCCAAAAAATAAACAGTAAATAGCAAACAATGCTGAGTTTCACCTTGTACCTTGCAGGTCCAGGTGACTTCGAACCAGCTTGCTGGCAACTGCGATTGGGACTTATTCTCTGCCCTTGGAGACCGCTTTGCTAATGTCATTTGTTCCGCCTCGTTAAACAATCAACATCAATCGTTTCATCTATAAGATGATTTCAAGTGTTACAACTCAGCAAGACGGGCATGGCTAATGATCTCGTCGTCACGGCAACCCGAGATTGCAAGAAGTTCCGCGCCGTCTCGTTGCGCTAACTACCAAGGGAAACAACTACAATAACAGCCATGGTTTACATAGCGTTCATGAGAGCCCAGTCCAGGAAACTCGACACCCATGGACAGTCCTTTTTTGGCCCCAGAAATGTTTATTCAGCTGCAATCCAGCATATTTCAAACTTCTCAGGGGAAGATTATATGGACGAACAAACAAGGGGAAGAGGTCTTGCAGAGGCAGCCTCCAAATTTTTTGATCAAAATGGCGAAAAAAATCTGTCAAAAATAGCCAATGGACTGATTTTCAGTGCTGAAAGCCCGTACGTACATTTTCCAAGCGGTGAAAGGAGGCAATCCGAAGAACGTGATTGGAATTATAGATCTCACCCAGAGCGGAACTCTTGTCAAGGTGAGCAATTCTTTAAATTGGGTCTTCGAATTTAAAGGTCCTAGGTCTTTAAATTTAAAGGTACTAGGGTAATATCTTTTTTTTCAGCTGAACGGTACCGTATCCGGCCTGAAACCAGGTCTTCACGGGTTCCACATCCATGAGAAAGGCGATTATGGTGTATTTGGTTGTTGCCCCACAGGCGACATTTCAACCCAACAAATGATGGCTTGAGCTTCCTGATGACTCAAACGCACGATCGTGATCTCGCAACCATCGAAACCGCCGGTAAAAGCTATCCTTCGAATTTTTGTATGGTTTGTAACGAGCTTCCTCGGGGGATTCCTGCTTTTTTTACGTATGCACTGAAACGGAGCTGTGTGGAGAGCTCATCCGAAGGCTCGAAGAAGCCACGGTGGGGAAAAGCATGAGAGAAGCACACCACGTGCAAAAATAAGCAAAAGGCTCAGTGGTTTTCTGGCATAGTACGCAATTTCACTAAACTGGAAGCCTGTGCGCTTCGTTCTTTCACCATTCATTCGACGAATCTTTATCAATGTATTATAACTCCTAAAGGCAGGGATAGCCGAGTGGTTAAGAGGTTAGACTCATGTCTGCACCTCTGAAAACCGCGAGTTCGATCCCTGCCGAGGTTAACCATGCCTTGCAAAAATTGCAAAAATGGTTCTAGTACCAGCGTCAGGCCCAGGTTGACAGGCCGGCTGATGAACACCCCAGTCACACCAAACATCCACCTATTTCTCTCTTATCATTTATTTTTATTTCAATTTACATGCTTACAATTATCATTTATAATAATAATTATTTTTTACTTCTTTTTATGCAATTTATTAAGGGATCTTGAAGCTTTTGTAATCACACTACCTTCATTATTTTGTTCTCTTATTCTTATCACTTTTGTGATTATCTTTTTTACTACGTTATTACTGAATTACCTGCTATTTATACTCCTTTTTATGGCTTGTTTCTACTTTTATTTAAGTACTGCCTGTCACTGCAGGATCAACCATTCATTAGGAAATCCTAAAAAAGGTGGATCGTACCTTTTTGGGTAGGTATTGACCGTCTACAGGAGTCGAATTGGTCCAGGGTTGTTTGTAAATATTTTGAAACAGACGCAATGTGACGGTTGGCCCTGTAGTTGGGGGGGGGGAGATGGTGAGAGGGCGAGTAAAGGGGGTTGTTTATTTCATTCAGCACAAAAACATACACCATTCTGCTACCTGTCATTGGTGATAGCATGCGTGAGGACAATTATGTAGTGCTTTGAAATATCTAGTTTAGAAAATTCCACAGAAAATTCTGAAGAATTCTGAGCCTAAATATGACCTCTTTTCATTGAATGACTGCTGTTTTACGGTACCCCAGTGGTGTGGGTGATAACAGAATTAACTGGAATGCTCTGATCTGACCAGGAAGGTCTTTCAGGGCGTGACAAGCTTTTTGAAAACGGTCTTTTGCATGATATAGGGGCAGATGCGGGAACCACAGAACCATGTTCAATTTTTCCTGAACGGCCCTCTGAATACCAGAAAAGGAGGTCCCTAGTTCGATTCCTCGTGGTAACAAATTTTTGCATTTCGAGTTGACGTGCCAAAATTCGCGCAAAATGGAGTTAGAACCAACCAGAACAATCAGAACTCCATTTTGCGCGAATTTTGGAACGTCAACTCGAAATGCAAAAATTTGTCACCAAGAGGAATCGAACTAGGGACCCCTTTTCTGGTATTCAGAGGGCCGTTCAGGAAAAATTGAAACATGGTTCTGTGGTTCCCGCATCTGCCCCTATATCATGCAAAAGACCGTTTTCAAAAAGCTCGTCACGCCCTGAAAGACCTTCCTGGTAAGTACGAAGCCCGGCTGGGGCGAAAGTTCCGCTCAAAACTCGACACTATTGTGATAATCTGAGTCTGATGTTGTGGAGGTGCACAGCTTTTTCCTTACAATGAAATGATTGACATGTTATTCACATCAGTCCGACTTTACAGTGCACGACCTTCAACCTGGTTTCTGCAAGTTTCATTGCGAGTTCTCAAAAACGTGAAAAATAAAAATTACCCCGCTGCAGTCTCGTCCCAAAAAAGCGCAGAACTTATGACACATTGGTGTACTGTTCAAATCGATCTGTCCTTTGCAGCGATTTTCCCCTCAATAACTTCGTATAGCATACATGCTTCAAGGGGAACGAAAGAGGATCCACATGATCTCTAAATCGCTAGATTTGAGGTCCCTGCTCATTCCGATTGCTTCTAGTGAATTTCACAATCGCGGAAAATCGCACTGGCTGGGGCATTCGCATGATGCTTTCTTATTCTTGGTTTGGGTGATCTTTTTTGATGGCGGAGTTTACGTTTCAGGAGGCCAATAGAAATAGGGTGGAAGGGATCAGTAGTGCCGGAATCAGGGTCAGTCCTACCGTTGCGACTTTTCGGAAATTTTTCACGACCCCTTCTAATCAAAAATTTCATGATCCCCTCCCTTTCACACCCGCATCATGGGTCGCTTGTGTTCTATAGTATCATGAAACATGTAAATCCCACTTTCACATCCAAACAGACGGTCGAGCGTTTTCTAAAATGTACCGCAGGATTCTAAATTCACAGCGCATACATTATACGAAGTTATACGACACACTCAACAATATACGACCCCCGCGATGGTACTTGTCGCAACATAAGACTGACCCTGGCCGGAAGGAAGAAAGAACCATGAGAAACGTCCAGAACCCGAAAGAAAGGACCTCTTCTTTCCCATTGAGTTCCGCACTGATCGACTCTCATCGACCGCTGGCTCTCTGCGCTCTCTCTTTCTCTCTTGCTAACGGCCCACGCGAGGATGGCGATGAGGTGGGTACTGTGCAATGGAGCCGACGGGAAAGTCGAGCTAGATGCAAGGGCAATCCTTGATGTAAATTGCTGTCGACCGCCCCTTAGGTCCGCCTGCTCCTCCCCTAGGTAAGTACCCCTTTCTTCGACCATCTTACCCTGATCTTCCTTAAAATACCGTCCGTATTATCAAGTTTAGGCAATGTTGCTGATACCGGCGTAGTTACTCTAAAACGCTTTGAAGCCATTTATATTGCCTGAGCATCTCAGTTGACACAAACGAGGGCAAAAGGGCTAGATTCTGGCTCCTCCACGCCCCCCCCCCCCCCCGCCCCCCTGCACGAGAAAGATTACAAATTTCCACAAAATAGCAGAGCGATATTTGAAAGCATATCTAAGCACAAAACCATCGTGCTAATGCTTTTATGCCTAAATAATTACACATTGCAGAGTGATGAGTTTGAAGTTGACCTCGGACCCATGCCGTGAGCAATTTCGGATAGTAAGAACGACTTTGTGTGGTAACATTCCCCATGTAGTCCCTATCAAGAGTTGATTAGTCTTCTGGCGTTCTTCCATTTCGACAATGTGACTTGAGGCGTCCTTCTATATGAAGATAAACTAAAATAATTTGAACTGTTACATTATTATTGCACCTCAAAAATCCTAATTGATTCGACGAGAGTAAAGATATCGATCTCTCACTTATCGTTGCCAACACACGGCTCGACCCTGTTCATAATGGCTCGAAACGGCAAGATTCCAGGATCGGAAAGCCGATTCAAACCCGAGTGTGGATCATTTTCTCATTGTCTGTTGCCGAACACAGAAACAACGGGTAGAGCTGAATAAGGACGTTGGGGCAGTTGGATTTTGTCCTACATGTGGTCCTAATTGCACTAGACGCTTTGGGCGATTGTCCTGTTTCCATCCTGAAAGAAATTCCTTGCAGTGCTATCGGACTCGATGTAAATGCAGCGCATTGTAAAGTTCTAAGACACCGACTAGGAGTTGCCAAATTTAGAGCAATCAGCTTCTCCTGCGGCGAAAAAAAGTGCCGAACAGTTTACAACCTTGCCTACGTGATACGATTTTCTGGATTCGCTACAATTCTCCTACGACACTTCTAATTCCAAACAAGAAAACGCTGCGAAGTTCCCTTCTTAATTAAATAAAATGTTTAAGCTTTGCGTGAATTTACTTCAAAATTGAATCTACAGCAGAGTCTACGAGGGTGCGGCCAAATATGAGGACCAGACATGTATCGTAAAAGACGTAGTGAGCTTGATGGAAACTATAATCAGGCGAAGTGTAAATTTTGAGACACCTGGATACTTTAAAAAATGCTCAAAAAAATTAGTTTCAGTGAAATTCACAGATGTCTATGCAATTTTCGCCACTATTTTCGGCAGCGTTTTCCAGTTTGCTTTTTGATCGCCTCCGGCGAGAATTCGCGCGAACTGTCAGGGATCCCAAACCGGGTTATAGTCACGCTCTAAATGTTCATGGACAGTCTCCGTATATAGTCTTGAAGAGCGAGCGTCACGAGCTTCAGTCGATGAGCACCAGCTTTAGGTATTGCTATTCCTTTCTAAAGCGCGGAGGGTATTTCAAAATTGTTTTGATGAACAAGTTTCACACTTCTGTGACGTCGGAGGGAAAATACCGAAGCGTGAACGGGAATAAAAGTGATACAAAAGTCCTGGGAAGAGGTGCCACAATGTCCTTCCGCAGATCGGAATCACTCAGCTCAACTCAGTTCCTTTTTGGATACGCCACGCATTCTACTTCATAATCTTGATATTCGAAAGCGGTATGGCGTATACAATGACTGTAGCTATCAACGAACAAGAATTTTGTATCGTCCAGACGAGACTGGATACAGTGATGACCCGTAGGAGTTGAGAGTTAGTTGCTCGAGCGCGAATAGATTCGGATTTGGCCCCCGGACCATGCTTGTGGGAAAGGCCTATTGCTACTACACCACCCTGCCTTTCTATGATGTGATGGTAATTATAACCTTACATGTACTTTATAACTTTATGAAGTTATAATATATGCATGGCGCATCCCGAAAAGATCCCGATGGCTACCGTTTTCTTGGTTCTTGTTGAAGAAGAGACACCAACATTAATTTTTTCGTTGATGAATGGATTCAGCATTATAAAAGAATATTTAAAAAAAGGATAAAGCATTTGCCGTTGATCAATCCCTTTTTGGGATGCGGCACGCATTCTACTTCCATTTGTACATTCGTAGTGGCGTTTGAATGCGATGTGGCCTATACAATGACTTGCGGGGGCCAGCCGATGTACAAGTCAGTGTTTTTATCCTCCCAGACAAGTCTGGTACCAATTAACCGACCCCGGAGGGATGGAAGGCTTGGTTGGCCCGGGCGACTCACGACCCAGGATTTGATCCCGGACCGCTCGCGTGGTGAGCGCGCCACTTGTCACTACACCACTTCCGCCCTAACTCCATACAAATATCTATGTACAGACTAAAAAATGAGAATCAACTTCTGTCGGCTGTTTTGGACTCTCCTGTGATGATGTTTCAGTTTTACTTCGATATTATGATGGCACTTTTTGCCTTGTTTTTCGGAATCTTCGCTCTACTCATTTTTGCTCAATACCAGTTTGTAGAAAGAAGTTTTTATCGAAATTCACTCAAGTGATTCGTCTGCGCCAAGCGACTGTGGCAAACCGGCTATTTCCCAGTTACCTTGAAATGCTTTGATCAGCAGTACTGATAGTCAATTACATGCGTATACCGTTGCAGGAGATCATTTACCTGAGAGGGAAAAACTGAGATTGAAGGCATGCCCAGGACCAAATTGGTGTGGTCCTTGCACGTGAATGTAATGTATCGTTGCCAAATAGGCCGGCAGTAAAGAAAATAGGAAAGAATTCGCCGAAATCGCTTAGGTTCAGGGCTTGCTCACCTCAGCAGTGCGGCTGTGCTAATGGTAAGGCAATTAGGGACTGATTGCGGAGAGGAGAGTTTGAGGTAAGAATCGCAACAGATGAGAGGGCGCCAAACAGCAGAGCGGTAAAAAAGGGAAATTGCAGCTGTAGCAGCTCACTTTGCAAGGCCCTAGCGGCGCTCTTTTCGGTTGATTCCGTGGACTGGGATGCCATATCTGTGACTGTCCTCTAGGGGTTCGTAGAAAGATGGGAACGGTTCATAAGACCTGCCTGGGTTGTGCCTTCTAGCAAGACTTTCTGCCATGCTCGCATTTGATTTACGATATTTTGATACGGTGGAAACAGGACCGAAATAGCGCGGCAGTGCACAAGAATAGATAGAAACCGTACGAAACAAGACGAATAGGCTTGCATTTTGTACTTCGATATGGACAGCGGACGAGTTTACGCGAAAGTACTGATCATTTGGACAAAAGCGCCCCGAGAAGATATGACACGAGAAGATAAAATGAAATGGCTACTTCAACGAAATGCGTAATGGAAATAAAAGGAAAGATAATGATAATAGTATTATAAATGATAGTCGTCAAAATTCAACAAGCCCACATGGGGGCGGAGCTAATTCCAGCGTGGTATGTGCCTTTAAGTTCGTCACACTAGTCAGCCAATCATTTTCAGCCCGCGAGCTTTCCCTGAGAAAAGAACTTCGGTTCCGGACTGAATCATGGCGACACATTATTTCTTTTGAATCCACATCGCCATTCCATCTTAAGTTTGCCTCTTTCAGAAGTCAGGAGATACGGCGATACTGCTTTCGGATTCGGTGATCTCTCTAACCGGCCAGCATAATGTGATCGGCAGAGCGATCGTGATTCATGCGGATGTGGACGATCTCGGCCGTGGAACATCCGAACTCAGCAAGACAACAGGAAACGCCGGAGCTCGTGTCGCCTGCGGAGTCATCGGTATCCTCTAGACGCGGTTCGGCTCAATTCGCTTACGTTGCTGTTCAGTCCGTTTTGTCTTGCATGTTGACCTATTTTTGAATGCTCTCAAGACCGGGAATGTGCCAAATGTACGTGCCGCGTGTCCGTGCGTGACACAATGGAAATTAGTCCCAGCCGCTGAAGCCGCTAACTTCCCAACTTCGGCATTTATTGCGTTCTCTTGTCTGAGAAGTAACCTCGCGCCGAGCCTCAGGTTCATGCGAGCTGGGGAGTTGGGCGGTCGCTTTCTTAGCAAGAGAGCGCAGATGAAAGAAAATCGAGCAGTTGCAGTGGCTTGGATTAGGTGAGCCGATTCCTGAACAGGGGGCGTACTTACCTTGGTAGGTGGATGGGTGAGGGTGACGGAGATTTTGAGGGCTGGGTCATGTTG